CCGCGGCGCTCCGGCACACGGTGGAGCGGCTGTCGGGAGCTGTAGTCCCGCCGAAGCTGGCACCCGGCCACGGCTCCATTTTCTGCCGCTGCCCTGCCTGTACCTGGGGCTGGCCCTGGGGCAGGGGAGGGTCGCTGCTGTCCCCTCTGCAGAGAACCGGGCACGGGCAGATTCCCCCGGGCTGGGCTCTCCTCGCTGGGCTGTGTGTATGGAACAGGGTGCACGGAGAATGGTCACGGCCACAAGCCTGCCACAGCTCAAGGAGCATTTGGACAAGGGCCTCGGGCACAGGATGCGATTTTGGGGTGTCCCGTGCAGGGCACAGAGCTGGGCTCCATGATCCTGGCAGGTCCCTCCCTGCTCAGGATATTTCACTATTCCAGGACAGAAGTTGAGTGCTTGGACAACACTCTAGGACAATGGGATCTGGGGGTGTCCTGTGCAAGGCCAGGGCTCGATGATCCCTGTACATTCCTTCCAGCTCAGGATATTCTGTGATTTCATGATCCTACAAGTCAAGGAGTGTTTAGACAATGCTCTTGGATGCTGGGATTTTGAGGTCTTGCGTGCAGTGCCAGGAGTAAGATTTGATCCTTCTGTGTCCCTTCCAGCCCAGGGCATTGTATGATTCTCTAATTCCTATTTTAGCTCCCCTCCAAAACTCTCCCCTGGCTCTTTCCCTGCCCCAGCTCCATCTCTCCCCCTGGTCCATGTGCTCCAGAGCTGCCAGAGGGGCTCTGGCAGCCCCACCTCTCTGGGCAGCCCAAAGGGCCCCAAAACCACCCATGCAGGGGGTCCTGGGGCTAGGTTAGTCCCCAGGGGCTCACCCAGGGCCTACAAGCGCTTTAAAAAGGCAAGATTCGCTTTTATTTCAAATCAACTGCTCAGCCCCGAGGAATCACTAATACAAAGCGTGCGCCCACAGCAGGGCAGGCACGGAGCACTCGGGGTCAGTACCGGGCTGCTCTGCCATTCCTCTCTCTTGTTGTAGTTTTTTTTCTTTTTTTTTTCCTTTTGAAATTTCATTTTGGGGTGGTTTCTCTCGTCCAGAGCTCCGGACGTGACGAGCCGGCGTGGGCGACACGGGGCAGCACCCAGGAGCCGGCAGGGAAGGATCAGCACGCCGGGGAAGCCGCTACAGGCTGTGGAGGCCAAGAAGAGACCCAGGTTGTCAGTCAGACCCTGTGGTGCCAGGGATGCCCCCAAGGCCTGGGGCTGTGGGGACAGGGGTCACTGCACCACCCTCACCTCTCCTTGTGGTCTCTGACCTCCTCCTTGCCCTCCTGCTTGGCTTCGTTGGTGTCTGGTGCGTCGGCAGTGTCACTGTTCTTCTCCCCTTCGCTCGGGTTGGCTTTGGGCTCCTCCTTGGGGGCCTCTTCGTTGTCCACCTTCTTGTCCCCTTCCTGCCCCTCTGCATCCTTGGGGCGTTTGGGGGAGTCCTGGGCAGGGGAGCTCAAGTCAGCCCCAGCCCAAATCACCCAGATCCCCATCCCCGGGGGCCCACCCAGTACCTCCAAAGCATCTTCTGCTTTCCTCTTGATCCCGGCTTTCTCGTTCTTCTCCTTGGACTGCTCGTCGATCACCAGCTTCCCCTCCTCATCGCTGCTCCCCTCTGCGTTGCCTTTCTTCTCCCCATCTCCCTGCGGCTCCCGCTCAGCCGCCTCGGAGCAGCTCTTCTTCTGGGTGGGCTTTGGCAATGGGGAGGGGGTCACAGAGGGCACCCAGGAAGGAGGAATGGGGGCAGAGGTGGGATGGAGGCCCCACAGCTCATGACTCACCTGGTAACCGGAGGCTTTGACCGTGGGGTTGTTCTCAATCTCCCACAAACCTTCGCTGAACCCTTTCCGCTTGTTGGGTTTTCCAAACTTCTCCTTGCACTCCTCGTAGGGGAAGAGGTCTTTGGGCCCCAGGAATGCCCTGTGCCAGGGGAAAACAGTGAGGGGTGGGAGTGAGGGGAATCTCACTTTTCCCACCCGCCCTGTAAGCTCAAGCTCCCACTCACGTTTCGTGGGTCCCGAAGAAGAAGACTTGGTACTTATTGGAGGAGGATTTGACTGCAGCTTCTGGCATCTCATCAATCTGTGTGACACGAAGGACAGGGTGAGAGGAGAGGGCAGAGACCCCTAGGGCTTCTCAGACCCCAGGACATCATCCCCCTCCAGTGTCCTATTGATGGGCACTGCTCAGGAAAGGAAAATGCGACTCCTTGGGAATTCACGCACCATCCAGAGACAGTGCTGGCAAGAAGTGATCAGCAGAACCAGTTTTTGTGCCCACTGGTGTGGGGGCCAGCAGGGCTCCCCTTCTCCCAGCCCCTCCTCTCTTAAGCTCTTGTCTAGACCAGCTCAGACACACTCAGCAAATTCAGGCGCTACCAGCAGTGCCAGTGGGGCCACAGGTCCCAGCCTGGGGATCGGGGTGCCTTGGGGGACACCACCCTGCTGCTGGGACACCCTGGCCAGAACGGGGTCACCAGACAAGGGGACAGCCTGGCAAGGGCTGTGGGGTCAAGCAGCAGCCGGTGTCAAGCCCACGGGCAGGTGCTGCTCCACTGAGCGTGAATAATCCCGAGGCGCCAAGCGGGAACGGAGCGAAAGCAACTCCGGCTGCTTTTTATAGCATCTAAAAATAACCCCCCCTGCAGCCAGCAGCCATAAATTCCCTGAGAAAACCTCAAAGGGAGGTGGAAGGAGCTGAAGGAGGATGCGGGTGGGGGTCTTGGGGCAGGTGCCAGCATGTCACTGGGCTGGAAGGTGCCAGCACAGATGGCCGGGATGCTGGGTCCCATTGCCAGCGCTCTGCTGACTCATGGCACAACCTTTCCTAAGTCACCATGACCCCCACAGCTTGCCGAGCCTCAGTTTCCCCAGCCAGCAGGGCTGGGGTGTTGTGACAGGGTGGACCTGGCCAAGAGTTCCTCCTGATTTCCCTCCCAGAGCTGGGAATGGAACTAATGCTTGCCCCTGTGCCGAGGGGCAGTGCTGGCACAGCCCCAGGGGCAGATGGAAGGGATGGGACACTGGGAAGGCTCTGCACAGGCACCAGGTGGTGGATGGTCGGTGTGATGTCCCACTCCTGGGTGGGATGTGCCTTTGTGCCATCCCCACTGTGGTTTGGGGCACGCAGGCCGCCCTGCATCAGGATCCAGGGGGCGTTTCAGGATTGGTGAAGTGCTCCCACCCAGCGCCCTGGGGCTACTGGCATTGTCATGCCCCAATGCTGCCGGTTCCTCACAGGCTTGGGGACATTCCAGGAGCAGGGACGGTCCCCAGCAGAGCAAAGGTCAGTCCAGCCCTTGCAGCAGTCCCCAGCGGGACCCTGGCCCATGGTGGCAGCTGGGAGCAGCAGCTCCATCCCTGCGTGGCACCGAAGGCGGAGGAGGGGATGGTGTGACTCAGAGGGGAGGCCACCAGCCCAGCCCAGCCCAGCCCAGCCCCACCGGGGATGGCGCTTCCCGCAGGCCACGTTCCTGCAGGTCACTCCTGGGACAATGTGGCCAAGGCCCCATCAGCCCTAGAGGCCCTGAGCAAGGACATGGAACCCAGACACCCCCTGGGCTTGGACAGGGACCCCATAGCCCCTGGCAGTGCCAGGACCCTGATGGAGATTCCCCAGCTGCACCATTCCCAGAGCAAGTTCCCAAATGTCCTTCCCCAAGGAAAGGCATGCAGAGGCACGGGCAGCAGGTCCAGGGCTGGCTGCCCTGTGGAATTGTGTCCCCAGCCCATGAACTGAGGGGCTTGGGGGACATCTGAGATCCCCCTGACAGTGGGATTCCCTGCACAGCCCATTCCTGCCAGCACCGGCCGTTTATCAGCCCCTCCTGCACCCCAAGAGGACGTGGTGGCTCTATCTGCATGGGCAGGTGGGGACTGGGGTGTGGGGACACGGGACAGACGGGTGACTCCCCATTGGGGACACTGATAGCACCGGCGGGTGCAAACCCACCCAAAACCCCTGGGCTGCCCAAAGTGCCCCATGAAGGGGGCCCAGGGCTCGTGGCACTGTCACGCCCCATGTCTATTTGTCTGTCCCTGCTGCTCGCTGGACAGTGGCAGTGGGGGGAGACAGGGCTGCAGTGCCCGGGTAAAGTCCACGGTGCCCATTTCTGTGCCCTGCCAGCTCCTGCGAATGGCACCGGTGTCACAGCCCGGCCCTGCCCAGGAACCTGCATCCAGGGCCTGGGGGGGGATCCGAAAATGGGCTGGGACAGCTCCCCTGGGAGGGGGAGCTCTGGAGCGTGGCAGGGGAGGGACAGGCACGTACCCCCGCACTGGACTCTGCCCCCAACCTCTGCTCTTCACCTTTGCAACTGGTCCATGGAGCACGGCTGTGCAACCTGCCCTGCACTGGCCATGGGGGCTGGGAGCAGCCCCCTCCCTGCCTCAGTTTCCCCACTTCAGGACATGGTTGGCAGCGAGGAGCTGACTGTCAGGAAGGGGAATTAATGGAATTAACTCATGTGGGTCACATGCACCGGGTGGGGGGCTCCCTGAGCATCCCTGAGTCCCATGGGTGAACCACCCACGCACTCCCCAGGGCTCTCCTCAGCCCTGGGGCCGTCCCTGGGCCCCATCCCAGCAGCAGCCTGGCAATGGGCAGCAAATTACCCTGCTCCAGAGGGTATGGCCAGCAGGATCCTGGCCCCGCCGCACAGCCAGCCATGGGAGCAGGAGATGCTCAGGAGGGGGATGTCAGTGGTGCCAGGATCCCCAGCATGGTGCTGCTGCTTCGTCCCCTGACGTCCTCCCATGCTGTCCCAGAGCTCTGTATGAAAGATCTGCGGATCTGGCCACAGCAGCAGGGAAGCACAAATGGGCAGGTGACAACGAGGGTCCGGCATAAGGGACCCTGCAGAGAAAGGGGTGAGGGGAAGAGGGAGGCAAGCATCATCTTCCAGGTGCCAGCGACTCATCTCCCCACTCGCATGCCTCAGTTTCCCCTCTGTTTAATGCTGCTCCTCTCAGGGAGAGGCTTCCACTGGAGGCAGGGGCCAAGCTGTTGGTGTTGGGGGACGGTGCCAGGTACCATCCCCAGGGAACAGGTCAGAGAAACAACCCCTGCCCCGCAGTGCTGCCAGCTCCCCCCTCCATTTCTTCCGGTATCTCTCTGCTCCAGCCACACCTGGTTGGAAACAAATATCCCAGCAAACGCCACGCGTGGCCGGGTAACGTTTCATCACAGCACCTGATTAGTCACGGGCAAGCCCTGCCTGCTTCACCCTGACCGATTAGTCACGGTGGGGAGGGCTGCACTCCAAACCCCCCCTCGCGATCAACCAGCATCCCTGGACTTGGGGAGCCCAACCTCCCGCTGCTTCCAGAGGGGGAAAACCTGCTCCCTGCCTGCCCCAGCAGCCCCGAAACGCTCCTGCCATGATGGTGGCGGCGAAAGCAGGAGATGAGCGGGGTGTGAAACCCGAGCGGGCCCGGGCGCGCTCAGGCGCTAATTCGGTCCCCGGGAGCTGAGCCCGGCTTTGCGAGCCCCGACCCGGCGTCACCCCCGGCGGGGCACCCGGGGCAGCGGCTGCTCGGGAAGCGAGCCGCGATGGGATGGGATGGGATGGGATGGGATGGGAGGAGGAGGAGGATGGGGCAGCGGGCAGGGGGAGCATCGCTGTCCCCCGGAGAGAGGCTGCGGGGGAAAGGCGGGCGGCGGTGGAAGCAGGCGCCGGGCTCCCAGGGATCCCTCTGGCTCCTCCTCGCAAAGCCGCTTTCAAATGCGCGTTGGGAGGCCAGTGCCAAATCCGAACGGCTCCCAACCCCCTCCCGGCCTCCCCGCCAGAACCCGACAAACCAAACAAAAGTTATTCAAATCCGGGAGGGGAAGGAGGAGGGGATGGGGGGGGATCCTCGGCCTTTAAAGCCCACCGCCCCATTCCTCCCCTTTTCCGCTCAATTTGGGG